ATCTTGATGAGTTAATCATTTCTGTTGGAACTTTCCTGTTCAGTGGTGTTGCCCATCCCGCTATGATGGTCATCTACGAGAATCCAGTAACTTGATGATGGATCCTGCCTACGCTGTGATAATGTGGGGATACGAAATGTTGCGGTAGTGTGGAAGATGTCGGGTTAATCGGTGTCTCGAAGGGTACGTTACGAGTTTTATAGGTTTTAAAAAGTTGTCTTATCTTTGATCTATTCTCAGTTTCTCTCGTTGAGGAATTGATGTGGTCGAGCGTCGACCAGCGAACACTGTCGGGAATTGGAAGTTTGAGTGATACGCTTCTAGGGAGTGTACCTCCGCTTGCTCTGAGAACCTCGAAACACAAAACATTGAGATTGAAAAATATGAACAGCTTCATGCAAATAGTATACGGAGTATTAAAAAATGATTTTAATTATAATCATCACCAGTACTGCCAGGCTTGGACGTGCGACCTCGCTCGACGATGCCCTGAAAGAATACCTTTGCTGATAGCTATCCGATATACAATCTTACCCTCCAGTTCCTCCTCTAAGCTGGCTTCCGATCTTATCGACCATATTGGTGGTGGTGGAGGAGGAAGAGGAAGAGGAGGAGGAGGTGGTAGTGGTAGTGGTAGTGGTAGTGGTAGTGGTAGTGGTAGTAGTACTTGTAGTGGTAGTAGTACTTGTAGTGGTAGTAGTACTTGTAGTGGTAGTGGTGATGATGGAGGTGGTCGTGGTGGAGGAAGCGAGTAGGTCTGGAACTCCCTCAGCGGCTTCTTCTATCGCCAGTTGCTGCCCAACGACCTTCTCCAGGAGGGACAACCAGGCACCCCTATTCTGGCCATCGACAGTGGAGGTGTCAGGCTCGATGGAGGTAGTGGCGGTGATGATGGTGGGGGTGGTGGTCGTGGTGGAGGAGGTGAGGAGTGGGTCTGGAACTCCCCCAGCAGCGTCTTCTATTGCCAGTTGCTGCTCGATAACCTTCTTCATAAGAGACCACCAGGCACCCTTACTCTGGCCATCGACAGTGGAGGTGTCAGGCTCGATGGAGGTAGTGGTGGTGGTGGTGGAGGAGGTGGTGGTCGTGGTGGTGGTCGTGGTCGGTGTGGAGGAGGTGAGGAGTAGGTCTGGAACTCCCCCAGCAGCGTCTTCTATTGCCAGTTGCTGCTCGATAACCTTCTCCATAAGAGACCACCAGGCACCCCTGCCATGGGCATCGATAGTGGAGGAG